GGGGGTCCCAGCACAGGGAGGACGTGGAGCTGCTGGAACGAGTCCAGAGAAGGCAGAAATGATCAGAGAATGGAGCARCTCTGCTGGGAGGAAAGGCTGGGAGAGCTGGGATTGTTCAGCCTGGAGAAGRGAGGCTCCGAGGTGACCTAATTGTGGTTTTCCTSCTTTCCCCTGCTCCAAGAGTTTGGTGGAACAGCTTTGGAAATGCCTCCCCTGCCCAGCCAGGCCAGCAGCACCCAGGACTGTGGGATTGACTCTCAGCTCCTGTTTCTGACCGGGAATTCTGGCCCGGGAGGGAATGGGAATGGGAATCTCGGGATCTCCACAGATCCCCAATGCGCTGGATCTCTCTGGATCCTAAACAGAGGATCCTGCACAGTCTGAAGCGCTGGATTCCAGCCGGGATAGTGTTCCCAGCCCTCTCCTGCAGTCCCACGATGCTCCAATGGATCCCGATGGAACCCCTGAGCCCGCAAAGCGCAGCTTTTCCATTTCCCGTCCCTGAGCCGCTCCCGGTGCAGCGTTCCCACGGGAATTGCCGGGGACACCTCCTGCGGGTGCGCCCCGGGCTCCGCTGGGCTGGGATGTGACAGATGGACGGGGTGACCCGCTCCCAGCACGGCCAGCAGCTCCAGGGAGGGGATTACAGCTCCGGGAGCCGTGCCGGCAATGGCTGTGATTTATCGGCTTCATTAACGCCCTCCCGGCCCCGCCGTTCYCCTGCAGATCCCACCCCCTGGCCTTTGCAAGGACGAGAGCAGAGACTGCTCTCGTTGAGATGCAAAACGCTGCTCTGCCATTTGCAGGAGCCGCAGGGACACGATCGGAGCCAAGGGACGGGGGAAGGGGTGGGGGTTGGCATTTCAGTGTTCCCWGCCCAATCCCACTCCCTATTATTCAGTCTCCATGGAGTCCCGAGGGCTTTTTTTGGGATGCCCGGTRTTGGATCTGCTCTGTTGTTACTTTTGCTCTTTGTAGCCGGCAATTTTTAGCACAAAAGGTGCGTTTATATTTGGGTTGTGCTCGCAGGGCCCCTGCCGGGGTTAGGTGAACCCAGGTGAAARTCCAGCTGGTGAATCCTGCTGGACCTCAGCTTCATCCCAAACCCCAGAGGTGCGGGAATTGTCGGGGATTAACAGCTCCGTGTGCTTTAATTCTCCTCTCCCTGCTCGGGAGCAGAGTCAGCTCCCTCCTGCAGCCCTGCATCCCTTGGGATGAATTCCCAAGGCAGGGCAGCGAGGCTGGAGCTCAGCTGGAGCACCCAGGGAAAGGCTCAGCTCAGCTCAGCTCAGCTCAGCTCAGCTCAGCCTCAGGGGACATTCTGCACATCCCAGGCAGCACTAAAGTCTGGCCCAAAGCTTTTTCCTCCCCATCCCTTTCCCTCAGCTCCAGGAGCATCCCAGGATGAGGCCTTCCCCTCCTGCCTCCCCAGGGCACTTCCAGCAGCTCAGCAAGAGAGAAAGGCTCGGCGTGGGGGAGTTATATCATTTATATCATTCTTTATATCATCGTTAAGAGTAGCAGGTATTGATGTACAATGCATCTGTCATCTTATTGTGCTTCCTATGAAAATGTGTGTACATAGTACAGATACCGGAGAGAATTCCACACTTTATACACTTGAAGGCATTCAGAGATCAGTAACAGAAAAAAAAAATGGCACAAGAACAAGGCCTAAATGCTACTGGATGGGTATCTACACTGGTATGATGCATATAGATATATATATATATATATGTACACATATATATATAGTCATATATATTATATATAAGAAATATAAAATGCCGATGACATAATAACAAAAAAAGCATTTTGTTCAACAGGTGAGCCTCAAGGTCAAATCCCAGCCCCATCTTTAAAAGCTTGCATGGGAAAGAGAAAGAAAGAAAGAAAATAAATAAATGAAA